TGATCAATATATTTCAAAAGGAGCTTCTGCACTTATTTTGACGAAGAATGTGCCCACCTTTTCAGGTTGTGGACTACTTCAGATTCATGACCTTGATCCACTGGGTCGTCATTGTCCCGCAAATTCGCGCCCACTGTCTCTGGTTTCACGATACTCAACTATATCGGTAAGTTTTGCCTTAATTTCCGATATATTGATAGTTAAAGATGAGTAGGCCGGCTTTGTCAAAATGCCTGCGCTTTGTTATGTTTACCTACCTACAATAGCCTGTTGTTACTAACTATCTGTCGATTCAAGTTACTTGAGACCCTGTTTAAACCGTCGTAATCTGAGACTGACATCATAAAACTGCAGGTCTATAGCAAAGCGCTTTTTCCTGTTCTATCTCAAGTCTCTCGGCTTGAATTTTAATCCCAGGTCTTGCCTATCCGGAATGTGAATATAAGTAAATGAGATCAAGAATGAAGCCACGACTTAACTTTTTTAATCTCTTGCCCTTGGCGACTTGTCCGTTAGTTTTCTTTTTTTTTTCATTTGTTGGACATAACTTCCTACCATCTCGGTCACTAGCCCTTTTCTACTCCTGTTTTAGAGCCGACCAGCAACAATGCTTGTCCAGATTGTCCTCATTGCCGAGTCAACTCGCCTTCAACAGATTCTGGCAACGTATGGCATCAGGACACAGACTCCGGTAGAAATGGAGCCTCTCAAGGTCAGTTATCAAAGGCACCATGCTCGATAATGTGCCTGCTTTTATTCAAGTTGGTTAGGCTCATCTACTCATGTCTGTACCTTAATCTGCCGCGGTGTCCTTTTAGCGACTCCCTTCTACGGCAGATTAAGATGTGTCTAGGAAATTCAACCGCTGTCCGTAATGTATTTTAACCGTGAAGCAAGTCAAAATACTCTCAGCGTTGACAACACGATTTTTATCTGATGTCCTTTTGGTTGTTTACGTACGAATTATCGCAGAGACGTCTGACCGGAACGATCGTGACCATGACCGGCGGTCATATGAAAAGTCACAAAGACAGGGCTGACCGACTTTTATAGTCTTCCTTGACGTACAGTCACGTTGTTTCTCTAGACAGGGCCAAATGAAGCTCCGCAAAAAATGGTTTGTTGATTAGCAACTGTCAATTGCATGCCGGTGCGAAGATACATAACCCGTCGACATCGAACTCCTAAGCCCTTGTTGATGTAAGCGAGTGATTGAGATTGGCTCTTTCGTGATTTGGACTATTGCGAGGCAGACTGTCGCCTCATCGCCCACGCACTATTTTCCTAATCTCATCGTACTGCAGTTACAGAACTTGGGCTAAACTACTTCAGATAAGTTTGCGACTACATCAACGTCTGACGACTAGGTTATAGCTGAAGCAAACCCTGGTGGGGCGCCGACGCTCTCATTTTATTTCGCCCACCCATTGAAGCACTTACCAGAATGTAGCCGTTGCGACGTGTGTACGACCTTGTGGAGCCCCACACGAGGTCAGAGTGTAATTACCAACTCGTACAACGGTATATTTGGTTAACAGTTCACTCATGTAATTTTATCATCCCATGTACCAGATACGCACTACAACACAACTGTCACTTTGCTATAATTCTTATAGCTGTGGCCGCCACATCTCATTGTCAGAGCCTGTTCGTTTATGGGTCTGAGCAACCGTCTTCATCTGACTGGTCGACCACCTAGGCCGCTGGGTGCCATCGGAAGTAGCAAGTTCTATCGGTACGTCAATTCAACGACATTCAATCACGTGTACCAAGTATAAACATTTTTATAAGTTTTCGCGGAACCAGCTGCTTGCTTCCTCTGTGGTACCTCACAGTTTGTCGTGAAAAGACTTTGCTTACAGTACTTTAGATTACAAGAGACCCCTCTATTTCTGACTACCCTGCTGATATTTCGATTCTTCTTGATGAAGAAGAAGAAGAAGAAGAAGAAGAATGCTATATTGAGGATTTTACAGACC